TGTAAACCGCTTAGGGAGGGCTGAAAGCCCTATGAAGCGGTATATAAGTCTACTGCTATTGCTATTGCTACAATTGTGGTTGTAAATTGAGGAGTGCCTAATTTACTAATCTGCAACAGTTCAGTAATCTTAAATCTTTCTCTCTCTTTTTAAGAAATGGACCGTGATTATGGACATGGTGCCTATAGTGCCCCAAGAGCTATGGACTCTTATATGAATCAGTCATATGGAATGGAAAGCCATGGAGGCAGCGGTGGAGGAGGAGGTGGTGCTGCCAGGTAAAATACTGAATCATTTGCTTTGTATGTCAAAGATAATATAAATATATTCTGAAGTATACCTCTATCCAGTTTAAGTGTTCCTTGAGCATATTGCAGGGTATGGTGCATTATTATGCAGAAATGTAATGTGTAGCCTATTTTAAAATAATTTTTATATGAAAAATAATGCTGCAATATATGTTTTATCTCAGATCTCTTTTAAAATCTATTTCAACAAATGATTTTTAAAAACCTAGCAATTAAATACTAGCACAGAATCTAGAACTGAAATGCTCTTAATTGTATCAGAACTGCTGTGTTTGCTTCCCATTCTGTTTGAAAGGAACACTTAAATTTAATTTGAATAGTAATATATTTTGCAAGAATATTCATTGGTAGACAGCTTTTCATGTCCAGATTATTTTATTGGCAGGTACTAATTACACTAAAACACACTTTTGTGCAGTGTTTTAAAATTGTTCCTAGCACTATAGCAATATTTCTGGCAAAGTTTGATTTTTCACTGTGCCTGCAGTTGATGTCTACTAACGTCAGATATAATTTAATTCTAAATTTGGCTTTCTTGTAAGAACTCTGCATTTGAAACAAAATAACTGTATGATATATTAAACCTGGTTGCAGTCTCATTTGCATATCCTAATTCTTTGATGGCAGCAAGAAGAACATGGTTGACAATTTCGATTCTTCCAGTTTTTTGTGGCATTGATTGTTAAAAGAATTGGGAAATTAGCTGTATAAATGCACAGTGCTTTTCAACAAATAATATAACTAACACTGATGTAAACTATTTTGAGAATCGAGAAAATGTACCTACCATTTAGTAATCTGAATATGGTTGGAATTTACTGAATGCATTATATAAAAAGTTTATTGTTGTAATGGACTGCTTTGTAATTGGTATTTTTAATATGAAAGTTTTGTATTTAAAGTATGAACTGGAAACAAGATAAAATTAGCTTTCTCATATTGTGATTTTTAATTACCTGCATTTGAAGTTTCTTTTCAAGTTCTTTAATTATGAATTAAAATATAGTTAATACTTTGGAATGAAAATGAATTCCTATTTTCGTGCAGTTTATGACATTGATGTTATCCTGTACCCTTTTTTTCTGTTCTTCAATTAGTATCTTTTTTTAAATGCTACATACAGCTTTTTGGTAATATAGTATTTGCATGTAAACAGCCTTTCTCTGTGCCAAAGGGTCATTAATATTTAAGATTTATTTTGACTTTTCAGTTCTATAAAGGGTGTTTGTCTTATTCCCTACAAACAGAGGCAGGTGAATCTACAACCTTCCAAATGTTTTCAAAGCCTAACATTTCTTAGCATTTCATTCTGGGGCTCATGTCCAACAACATTTGGAGGGCTATAGATTCCCCAGTCCTCTCTGATACATTGTAAATGTAATAGAAGATGAGACATAGTTAAGAAAAAGTATTTAGATTTCTTCTGTAAGATATAACAATTATGAACCATTGAAATAGCAAGTTAAAATAGTTGCATTATTGATACTGTCACAGCTTCTTAGTTGAGAGCAAAGTCTTTCAAATGCTATTGAATTGTTTTTGGCATGACTTTAAACAAAAGACTTTTATGAACCTTTAAAATATGCAGGTGCCTGCATTCGTTAGACTAGGTCTGGGCACAATAATGAGGTGAAATAATTTTAAGCAACAAAATTTAGTGAAATTTAGGCATTCTGAATTTTAATACTATCTTTAACTGAAAAGTGACTCAGATAGCTTTCTGTCTGATCACAGCATGGAAATGCCCAGCCCTAATCAAAGGAAACCCTACCAAAGTAAAATATACATTGATTTTAGTTGATAAATGTCAACTGATAACTTGTCTTTTGAAATGTTTAACTTTAGTAAGCTTACTTTTTTTTTCCTCACTGCAACTTTTCCAGGTTTGGACCTTATGAGTCTTATGACTCCGGGTCTTCTCTGGGTGGGCGAGATCTGTACAGATCTGGCTATGGTTATAATGAACCCGAACAAAGCCGCTTCGGAGGTAGTTATGGTGGTCGATTTGACAGCAACTACCGGAATAGCCTTGACTCTTTCGGAGGTAGAAGCCAGGGCGGGTCTAGCTGGGAAGCACCTTACTCACGCTCAAAATTGAGGCCTGGGTTTATGGAGGACAGAGGAAGAGAGACTTACTCTTCCTACAGCAGTTTTTCTTCACCCCATATGAAGCCTGCACCTGTAGGCTCTCGGGGGAGAGGAACGCCTGCTTATCCTGACAGTGGATTTGGAAGCAGAAACTATGATGCTTTTGGAGGACCATCAACAGGCAGAGGCCGTGGCCGAGGAGTAAGTACAGAATCTTTTCAGATTCTTTTCACTAGTCACTCTTTTAAACCCTTTCAAGACCATAGCATTAAAACAAAAGCACTGTATATCACACTGCAGTTTTTGCCAAACTGTTAGGGTTGATGACCTTCCAATCCGGTTTGGTGTTTACCCAGAACTTAGTACCCTGTCTCTCTCTTCATTTACACAAGTAAATGTACTATAAGATTAGTTGCTAAGGTTTTATCATACCACTTTTTTTATGAAAAGTGAATATTAAGGCATTGGGTTTGGTCTAAAAGGGGTTAAAAGGAATTGCATTTTTCCTTGTTAACACTAGCATCTTGGCTAGTGGGAGAAGTCTTGAAACTTTGTAAAGGTTAATTAGAACCTTTTTTCGTTTTAAGTAGGTTAAAGGTGCAATGTATGTATACTATTTATTTTAAAGGATAAATGCCACAGAACAGATTTTGTTGAGGCAAGAAGCAATTAGTTCTTCCTACCCAATTTTAGCTTACTTTAAGGTCACTTAGACTTACATGGAAGGGAAGATTTAATACATTCAAGCATTAAAAAAGATAATTTCAAACCATTATTAAAGGGATATCATCAGAATTGTTCATGCTGAAAGAAAGGTAACACTGTACTCAACTATGTTAGTTGTGTTATAATTCAGTACTAGATGCGCTCACATGCTGGATCTAATGTTTTAGTGCACGTTCAAAGGAACAATTCAAAGATAATTAACATATCAAATATTACCCTACCAAATCAAAACATCACTAACAGCATTTGAAACTTCAGAAGATTCAAGTTATAAGATGATGTCCCATTAACTTGCTTTATAATTTCATATCTGAATTTATATAGAGAGTTTCATTTCAGTTGATCATTAATAGATGCTCTCTTAAAACTTTTTAAATATTGAATTTCAAGAAGTTGGCCTTAAGAAAACAATTACAAGTTTAAAGTAGATTGCAGGATTAAATGTAAATTGGAATATTTTTAAAGTTTTCTGCATGCCTATTATATTTTAATTGATTTATCTATGTAATGATACATCTGAAGAGAACAATTGGCATTTAATCCATAGATGTAGGAACCCTAGTAATCTTTCTATAATTTGTTGCTAAAGGAATAAGCTGATTTGTTTAGTCTGTAAACAGTTGCCCCTTTTCTTGAGCTTAGTGTTACTCTTAAGTACTAACTACTTTAAGAAATAAACTGCTTATTTCTGTGAAATGCATTGCACCTTTAATAGATTCTGAAAATATTTGCTCGTGCAAATCTACATCACCTAGAAAGTGTCCTTTGATGTATGTAATATGCAGGGTGAGAATATTGCTAGACTGTTATTTACTAGAACTCAGTTTGTTACAAAGTGACATATAGAACATATGCATGGATTTGTTTAGTATAATGATCTCTAACACATTGTGGCCTGATAGGAATAAATGCTACTCAAAGTAAAGAAATATTGTATAGACGTACTGCCTTTATTTTGTCTAAGGTTTACTATTAAATATTTATGGCAGTTTATTTATTTCTGCTTATATAATATCACTCATCCAGTCAGATGAGCCTATATTACCGTCAGTAGAATCTTGTGTGTGTTTATTCAGAAGTAAGTGCTACTAACTTCCAAGTAAGTATTACAGATAATTTAGGAGCCTAAATTATAGCTATTATACTCATTCCTTTTCTTCAGTTTGTTTTATAATTCAGTGCCTTAAAATCAATGAATTCAATCATGTAGGTTCTATTATAAGATAGATGTCCAAATTAGGATTAGATTTTTTTTTACTGCTTTATTGATATTCTAAACTTTATTTTTTCCTTTTGAAACAATTTGATCTAAGAGGAGCTAATATTTTATTTTGCTCATTATTCCTTCTGATATAATTAATAGTTTTTTTTAAAAAAATCATTGAGTTTACATTTACTACACAATTATCTCAACACTGGGGATGGATAGACACACACAAGCTGCTGATTGGACTGAATTGTTCATAAAGATTGAAGATTTCTAATCAGTTTTAATATGTCATGCATTGTATTAGCTTTACTTGTTATATGAGTGGGAAAAGAAAAGACATTTTATGAAGGTAGCTTTTTATCTACCTAAATTAACTGCTTTAATGCAGGGCTATTTTACATATTTATAATATATAAATCTTAAAATCCCTGACTCACATAAAAATTCTATGTGTATTTACTTGGAAATTACTGTTTAGTGAAAATAGGAGTATATGAGATATACTATTTTAAATATATATTTTATACAAGTAAAAAGTTTCATAAATGAAACTGGAATCCCATTACAATTGTAAAGAGAAAAAAATATTTGGATATTAACACATTTTAAACAGGCAATATTATATACAGAAAACCCTACATACATATTCAATGAGCATATTTTAAACCAAAATATTTTAAAACTTTAATCATAGTAAAATATATACATATATACATATAGTTTTGTAGAAATCATTTTTCTTCTGTCTGTTTGAGGCATTATTTGAAGAATCCTGAGAATGAACCTGGGTAAAATTCTAAGGCTCATAGGCTGGACCAATGATTTTGAATAAGCAGAAATCCATTTGATATAAACACTTCAAATAAAATATTTTAAAAACTAATCAGTTTGCAATCCTGGTGTGTGTTAACTGACTAGTATTGCATTTTTTCTTGAGTTAAAATATTTTAAAATACGTTTTTATATAAGCTAGTTTGTTTATGGTCAGCCATATCATTTTCTAATACTTGGTCTTCACCTATTTACAGTATATGGGAGACTTTGGAGGCATGCATAGACCTGGAATTGTGGTAGACTATCATAACAAACCCAGTAATGCAGCAGTAGCTGCACGAGGAATAAAGAGAAAAATGATACAGCAGCCGTATAATAAACCAGGTGGGACATTTATCAAGAAACCCAAACTGACAAAACCTAATGTGAAGATGAACCAAAACAAACCTAGTAAGTAATTGAATGAAAGATGTGAATTACAGCTCTATTTAATATTTTCTGAGAGGATACATTTATAATGCATTGCTGTACCTCATTTTCCAGTCTCAAAGCGTCCCTTCTATTACCAGTTGTTCATAAGGATTGACCTTGGTGGCACAAATTAAATTTGTTGAAAGATAGTTACAAGATATTTCACCAACTTTGTGCCTATATACTATGCTCTTGATTAAGGAAATTTAACCTGTTTATATGTATAATGATTATTTTCTGACTTTTTATTGTGAAGACTACTTGCTATGTGAGATGCTATAGGGCTGTTATCAACAAAATAATAGTCCTCCCAAATTTAACATATTCTCTGAACAATTACATTATTACTGAAATTCATCCAGAATGTTATGCTTTTAAGGAGGGACCCAAGTGACATGCCAGTGAATGATTTTTTTGCATGGGTTTTTATACTTTAAATAATTATTGATTGGATGCGCCAAAAGGTTTTGATTTGTGTTATGAAATTTGAGAAAAAAATTGCCATAGTGCTTTTCTACTAATAAAGTATTGATAATATAGCAATAGCAGTTAGCCTTATATACTGTTTATAGTGCTTTACAGCCCTTTCTAAGCAGTTTACAGAGTTAATATATTGCCCCCCAACAATATGGATTCTCATTTACTGACCAGAGAAGGATGGAAGGCTGAGTCAACCTTGAGCCGGTCAGAAATGAACTGCTGGCAGTTGGCAGAGTTAGCCTGCAATATTGCAGGCTAATATCAATGAACAGTTTATATAAAAGAGGATAAAACAAATTGTAACCCAGATATAGAGTATATACAGATACTGTGTTTCCCCGAAAATAAGACTTGGCCTTATTTTTGGGGATGTCTTATTATTTTTGAGGTGCAGGTCGAAGCGATTGTGGTCACCTCATGGCTGCTGCTGTGTTGCAATATTTTTGGAAAGGGCTTATTTTGGGGGGAGGACTTATTTTAGTGCATGTGCTTAAAAGCCCTATTGGGCTTATTATCCAGGGAGGTCTTATTTTTGGGGATGTCTTATTATTTTTGAGGTGCAGGTCGAAGCGATTGTGGTCACCTCATGGCTGCTGCTGTGTTGCAATATTTTTGGAAAGGGCTTATTTTGGGGGGAGGACTTATTTTAGTGCATGTGCTTAAAAGCCCTATTGGGCTTATTATCCAGGGAGGGCTTATTTTCGGGAAAACAGAGTAGTCCTCGAATTATGACCACAGTTGAGCCCAAAATTTCTGTTGTCAAGCAAAACATTTGTAAAGTAAATTTTGCTTCATATTATGACCTTTCTTGCCACAGTTGTTCAAGTGAATCATTGTAATTGTTTAATTAGTAACATGGTTGTTAAGTGAATCTGGCTTCCCCATTGACTTTGAATCTGAGAAAGCTGCAAAAGGGGATCACATAACTCCAGGACCTCAACTGCCATAAATATGAACAAGTTGT